TCAGTAGTACTGGCCATTCAGAGACAAGGCTACCAATTCCCAGAGAAGGTCTGCAAAGCCAGAGAAGGCCCTGACTCACTGATCTCCCATACCTCCTCACAGCAGATACTTTCCCAAATTCTGGCAAAAGCCACTTTATTCACCAATTTCTATCTGCACTCCTTGGCTCTCTCATATAAGCTATTACATCTTGCAGTAAAATCTACCAGCAGTGTCTCCTGTCCATCTGAGGTAAGGACTTTATCTTTGGGAGATATGGCTTCCAGGCCATAAAAATCATAATAATAATAATAATTAAGGACAAGGAATTTTTTAAAAAATTTAATGTTTATTTTTGAGAGAGAGAGAGACAGTGTTAGCAGGGGAATGGCAGAGAGAGAGGGAGACACAGAATCCGAAGCAGGCTCCAGGATCTGAGTCACCCAGGCACCCAGGGCTAGGAATTTTGAATAGGGGTCTGGAATGTGTTGAGCTGGGTAAGTCAGCTGACAAAAATAAATACGTAGATAATACAGAATATTGTAATATTGTCATTGTGATGCATAAGTTACTTTTAATTCTAGTATAGATGCTAAAACTATGCACTTTGCAGGAGAAAACAGTCCCTCAGTTTTTCCCCGCTAAGTCAATACCTCTTTCCTTCTATCTCATTCATCTATACACACTGAGCAAATGGACTTCTCATTCTTATGGGATTTTCTGGCTCCTTAAACACTCTCAATTCTTCTATTTATCACCTCCCAAACCGGCTTTTCTTGATTTATTTCCATTTAAAATATCTAGCCAATCACCAATTATTATTGTTTCTGCCTCCAACATGTGTTTATTATATATGTGCTATTTTCCTGATCCATTTTACCTGAATGACCACAATCACTTCTGGACATATCTTTGTTGTTGTTCCAAGTTTGTATTTAAATTCTAGCTAACATATAGTGTAATATTGGTTTCAGGAGTAGGATTTAGTGATTCATCACTTCCATATAATTCACTCTTGTCCATCTTCTACCCATTACTCCTTCAACTATAACCCTACAACTATAAGGGTTACTTTAAAACTTTTTTAATGTTCACTTATTTTTGAGAGAGAGCCAGAATGTGAGCAGGCGAGGGGCAGAGTGAGGGAGACACAGAATTTGCAACAGGCTCCAGGCTCTGAGCTGTCAGCATAGAGCCTAACCCAGGGCTCAAACTCACAAACTATGAGATCATGACCTGAGCCAAAGTTAGATGCTTAACTGACTAAGCCACCCAGGCACCCCTAAGAGTTACTTTTAAAAATTGTCTGATGTCACACCTGTGTGTGTGTGTGTGGGGGGGGTGTGCACTGCATTCCATATCCCCTAGAAGTACAAGCATGATTTGGAACATATCTATCTCTCCAAATTTATCTCAGTTACTACCTGCCTCATCAGTCTTCATTTAGCTTCTCAGAAATTACAAGCTGTTTTCTATTTCATAGATTCTGCATATAATGCATTATATGCTCAAGAGCCTCTTCACTCGTCTTCATTTGAATTATTTATACTCATCTATATTTTTTTAATTTTTTTTGTTAATGTTTATTTTTGAGAGACAGAGACAGAGCACAAGGAGGAGAGGGGCAGAGAGAGGAGACACAGAATCAGAAGCAGGCTCCAGGCTCTGAGCTGTCAGCACAGATTCTGACCTGGGGCTCAAACTCACAAGCCCTGAGCTGAAGTGGAACACTCAACCAACTGAGCCACCCAGGCGCCCCCTATGCTCATCTTTAAAAACTGAGCTTGAAATTCACACTCTCAGAGAGGTATTTTCTTTTCTGTCTTTTTTTTTTTTTAAATAAAAATAGTATTTTTTATCAAGTAGAATTACTCACCATGTGAGATGGGGCATCCCTTCTGTGAAGGCAGAAAGGGAGAAACATGATTTGATTGATACAGAAGAAGAGTAGAAATAGTCTCCCTTTTCTCATATTCTAAGCCTGCATAATACACAAAATATAATCCCTGGAGGATATTAACCATGTAAATCCTTGGATTGAGAGTAACATGTTCTTCAAGTGTTCAAAAGATGAGCAAACATTTCTACTAAATTTTAACTTGATAAATGAGCAATTTTGCAATACAAATAGTATGTGAGGTCGAACATCACATGATCATAACTGAGCCAATGGTTCTTTTCTGTCTTTCTCTCTCTCTTTCTCATTGCGGGATTGTTGGTGATCATCTCCCATGCTCAGATCCTGGGTCTCAGACTGCGGTGTTTAGCAGAAATCAGTGATTTTTCAGAATGTTGGAAGAGGCCCACAACTGACACTAGTGTATTTTTTGTCACTTCAAAGAACCTATGGACAGTCTTTTGCTTTTCCATTCAAGATTAAGCTTAGAAATGCTTTGCTTCATTCTAGGTCAGGCTGCCTGAAGATATAGACCCTTCCTCTGCTGCCTTCTTGCCAGTTACATTTTTTAAAATATAATTTATTGTCAAGTTAGCTAACATACAGTGTATGCAGTGTGCTCTTGGCTTCAGGAATAGATTCCCATGATTCATTGTTTACATAAAACACCCAGTGCTCATCCCAACAAGTGCCCTCCTCAATGCCCATCACCCATTTTCCCCTTCCCCACATCTCCCCCGCCATCAACCCTCAGTTTGTTCTCTGTATTTAAGAGTATCTTATGGTTTTCCTCCCTCTCTGTTTGAAACTAATTTTTCCCCTTCCCAACTCCCATGGTCTTCTGCTAAATTTCTCAAATTCCACATATGAGTGAAAACATATGATATCTGTCTTTCTTTGACTGACTTTTTTCACTTAGCATAATACCCTCCAGTTCCATCCACGTTGTTGCAAATGAAAAGATTTTATTCTTTCTCATTGCCAAATAGTATTCCAGTGTATATATAAACCACACCTTCATTATCCATTCATCAGTCAATGGACTCTCTCTGCCCCTCCCCCACTCTGTCACTTTCTCTCTCAAAATAAATAAATAAATAAACATTAGATATGTTCTTTCTATACCGATGTTCTTGAGGGTTTTTATTAAGAAAGATGCTGTAGTTTGTCAAATACTTTTTCTACATCTATTGACAAGATCATATGGTTCTTATCCTTTCTTCTACTAATGTCATGTATCATATTGATTGATTTACAAATATTGAACAAGAGAGGTACTTTCTTAAATTTTTTTTTTAATGTTTATGCATTTTGAGAGACAGAGAGATATGGA